CTTATTTGGTCACACCATCGCTATCGCTTATTCGCATTTCGCTGCAGCTTCCAACATATTCGTTTATACCCAACGAACCATTATATTATACTCATCCGTCCTTATATCGCAAACTTTATATCGTTTTCTAACAAACCTATAATTTATTTTTGGAATTTTTTCGTAAATTTTTGAACATTTTAAACATATCTTTGGAAAAGCTCAAACAACAACGGGCTAATATTAAGAAAAATATTTCTCGYATAAAAAACATTGTCGAGGCCAGTCTACGGCCAGGCGCTAAAATACTTTCATCAGCCGAATACAAATGTCGGCTTGGTATTCTGGAATCTTATGTTGTCTACACAAACGGAAATTAAAAGGATAGATCCTGAGGATTGTGGTCGCATGAGTCTTGAGGAGCTGTATATAACCACAAAGTTAATTATTCAGTCTCAAGTTACCGAGGATTCCAACACCACACTCTCAGACACCACTTCACCAAACCAAACTTCCTACATTCAACGGCAAGTACTCAGAATATCAAAATTTCGTAACTTTCTATCAGCAAATTATTGATCGAGAATATAGCATATGTAACGTAGAGAAATTTAATCATCTACGCAACTGTCTCAATTAAATGGCATTAGAAACTATTGACGCCTTTCAAGTATCCAATGAAAACTATTTGAAGGCATTGGAGAGACTCAAAACTCGATATATCAATCCAGCTCTCATATTGTTAGAAAACATTTGCTCTTTATTTGAGCTTTCGTCTATTCCAAAGAATCATGGCGGTCAGTTGAGAAGTTTAATTAATAAGGTATCTGCAATTTACGGCTCGTTATTCTCATTGGGAACTGAAAGTCAAATTTCACAAGCTATGCTTATTTATTTTGTTTTACAGAAGGCAGATGAAGAAACCAATCGCAAATGGAAGGAGTCTCTGGWCTTTAAAACTTTGCGAGCTGGGAAAATTGCACACACATTTTGGAGAGACATTGCCAGTACCTGGACTCAATTGATAACGCTCACACCATTGGATATGTACACCAAAGCACTACCAACTCGCATAAAACAAAACCTTTACGTAAAGGCTATTCGTTTTTCTGTTCCAGCTCATGTTGTTCGATGTGTTCCAGCAACAATCATAAAATACACAACTGCGACCGTTTTAAGGCACTTAGTGTGTGGCAACACTTTGACCATACAAAACAGTTGACTCTATGTATTAACTGCTTATCAAGCAGACATCAGTTATCGAACTGCGCATCAACGCATAAGTGTAGGATTTGTTATCGTCAACACCATACCTTGTTACATCGTAGGAATACACCAGATTCGTCAAATTCTACTTCGACATCCGCTGTTCATACACACATGAACAATTCGTCATCCTTTGACAACATCAACCTCGCCACAGCAGAGATTCTAGTTCGCGACGCTTCCGGAAACTATCATCTTGGCCTTTGCTGGATTCTTGCTCACAAGTTAATTTCATAACTCAAGAATTTTCACAAAAACTGATGCTTCCACGTAGCAAACATAACATAGAGATTGAAAATATTGGTAAGTCCTCTACCAATATAAAGTATAAAACTTCTACAAATTTGTATAATGACACCGTATCTCGAAGCCCTAACGGTAGAATCGTTCACTATGACCCTTCTTGCTTGGGTGAATCTTATAATACAGCATTTCAACGATTTAATGCGCTAGAAYGCCGATCGCAACAGTCCCCTATGATCAASAAAGAATACGTAGCCTTCATGGATGAATATGAGAGTCTAGGCTACATGGAAGTAGTACCCAATCCAAAATTGGAGGAACCTCACTACTATATCCCTCATCACTGCGTTTTGAAACCAAATAGCACTACGATGAAATTGAGAGTTGTATTTGATGCATCTTGTCGAACAACTACGCAAAAATCGACAAATGACATTCAAATGAGTGGACCTACAATTCAAATCGCTTCGCTCTTACTGCAGACATCGTTAAAATGTATTGGTAGATACTAATCAATRAGGAACATCGGAGGTTCCAATAAATTTTGTGGCGGAGTTCGCCTCAAAAGAATATTCACATTTCAGCTCAAAACTGTCACCTACGGTATGGKAGCCGCACCCTATCTTAATGTGCGTAGTCTACACTACCTCGCGGATCAATATGCGTCGAAATTTGTCGTTGGATCAGATGTCGTCAAGTCATTATTCTACGTCGACGATCTACTGTGTGGTGCTGACTCACTTGAGGAGCTATCAAGAATAAAACATGAGGTAACGGAATTGCTAAAATGAGGTGGATTTGAGCTGTCAAAATGGCATTCCAACCACCAATGCTTCACAGTCGAACACACTGACAAGGATTTAAATCTTGATACTTCTGTCACCAGTGCTCTTGGCCTTAAATGGGATCAAGTTAAATATCATTTTATACTTTCATTTCTACCAAAGCAGCCAATAAATGGAACCATTACTAAAAGAACAACACTATCCATCGCCTCATCGCTCTTTGACCCCCTAGGACTACTAGCACCAGTTATTGTTACCGCTAAAATTCTACTTCAGGAGCTGTGGTTGCTGAAAATAGAATGGGATGAATCGGTCCCACAAAACCTTGCGTCGGAATGGCAAATATTTGTCAACAACCTCTCGGATTTACCTTCTATTAAAATTCCAAGGTATTGTTTATCTGCTAACATGAAGTCTGTACAAATACATGGATTTTGTGATTCTTCGATACGTGCTTACGGCTGCGGAATATACACACGCATACTTGACAAATTTGGTAATGTTACCGTTCGCCTATATTATTAAGTCTACACTTTCTATTTACAATTTCTATACGTTTCTTTGGACAGATTCGCAAATTGTTCTTCATTGGCTTCAAATGCATTCGAGTACACTTTCACCCTTTGTTGGGAATAGAGTATCGGAGTTTCAGGATTTGACTTTGGATGCTTGTTGGAGACATGTGCCAACGAAAAGCAATCCAGCAGACATTATTTTCAGAGGAAGYACACCATTAGAACTCACAACTTCTATTTGGTTTAATGGACCTGAGTTTCTATATGAAGATGAAAGAAAATGGCCTAATAGAAAAGGTAGCGACATCGACATGGAAATTGTTAATGCAGAAATGCGTAGATCAGTATTTAACATAATTATCTTCTTGAAGCGCTTGAAAGGTACAATACTCATACTCGTGAAGTGCGGATTGTTTCATGGATGCTACGTTTTTACACTAGACTTAAAAAAGATAACAGGAAAATGGTGGATGGACCACTTACTCCTGATGAACTACGTCGCGCTTTGCTATGTTTGGAACGTTAAATAACAGCATTACGCTGCAGACATTCGATTGTTGCAGCGAAATAAAATGACAAATGGCATACTACGAAATTTAAATCCGTTCTTGGAAACAGCTCAAGGATTTGAACTACTAAAGGTAGGAGGTAGACTTGAACTGGCCAATCTTCCAGAAAGCAAGAAACATCCGATTCAACTACCAAGTAAATGTAGATTTGTTACGCGATATGTTCAATCTCTACATATTTAAAACTACCATGACAGCGTTGGGGGCTTTAATTCTTCCATCAGATATTTATTATGATAATGCAACTAATTTCGTCGGAGCTTGCAGCAAACTTTCAGAACTGAAAACCTTTCTTTTCAAGAAAGAAATCAAAGATGTCATCATAAATTATTGCGCTAATCAATTTATCAATTTTCATTTTATCCCTACTAGAGCACCTCAGTTTGGTGGCATTTGGGAGGCYGCAGTTAAATACCAAATTAACATACGAAGAACTCACTACAGCCTTGGTAGAAATAGCAGTTCTAAATTCTCGGTCTCTATCACCACTTTCGTCTGACCGGAGCGGCTACGAAGCTTTGGCTCCAGGTCACTTCTCAACTGGTAGTGCGTTAAAGAGTCCTACGGAGCGAGCAGTAGCTGACAACGTCAATCAAGTCAACGGATGGCATCAAATAACTGCCGTCAAACAAATATTCTGGAAACGTTGGTCACACGATTATATAAGCGATCTGCCAGAGAGAACAAAGTGGAACACTGACCATGGAAATGTTGGTAAGAACGCAATGGTTCTTATCCATGAGGACAATGTACCACCGCAACGATGGCTAGTTGGTGGTGTCATAGATGCTATCCCAGGAAAGGATGCACGAGTCAGAGTAGTTGATTTGCGAACTTCAAAGGGTATAATTTGTCGCTCAATCCACAAAATTGCTGTTTTACCTGTTGTAAAGTCTTTTCAACGGGGCCGGGATGTTGGGTCAACTAACGGTATTAGAGTTATTTTAAGTTTAGTTACTCATATATAAGAGCACAGACTCAATTGTACTAACGAACTAAGGTATTGTAAATTGTATGTGCACAATGCTCCCACATAACTCATTTGTATATACACACGTATGCCTACAAAAGTATGTTCGCAACAACATAACGGCGAGAGTTTTTGTCACTCCTTTTGTGTGACTCTTTCGCATGTGCAAACATATGAACATCCATCGAAAATATTAGCATAAGCCTAATCATTGTACCTAATTTCATTTAATTTCCATTAAATAATATAGTCTATTGCCAGGGACAATGGGATGCCCAAGTTATTCCAGTGTGAGAGCGCCTCAAAATAAGCGTTTTTTATAACATTTTCCATTATAAATTTTGGACATTTTAAATTAAAATACCCAACATTTATTACGAATGCAAATTATTATATATTGGACTTTTAATACATGGCGAAACTACTTAATTCCTTTTTATGATTATATGKTATATTAAAAAAACTGACTTTCGATATTTCAATACTTAATAAGGTGAATTAAGCCTGTTAGTTCTAAATTAATAAATGTTTTTAATCATTTGTAATAGAAAATAATTCTATTATGCATCAAATTACAAAACGTATCATAATATATTACCTTGTTTATACGAACGCATAATAGGGTTTCACCGAATACACTATGCTTCAAAACGTATGTATAAACTCATTTTAAAGACGTTTTGAAATGATCATGTACGTTCACTCGGACTCATTTTTCAATCGGTATTTCATTTCTCGCTTCGCCAGATATTTTTCTTATTGAAAATGCATAATTCTATATCATGAACAAACTGGAAAATCTAGTAAATTGTGTTATTTCGTATTTATCTTAACCAAATCTAAATATAAAGCAATAATGAACTTGGACTTCTACTTGTCCAATTACTATTTAATGAAAAACTTTGCTAAGAACTTATTTTTTTTGCAAATAACTGAAAACCGGCAGCTCTGTCAGTTAAGCGTATATTTATTTGAGCTTTTCGATTTGTCCTCATTCATTTATACAAAAGTGAAAAATTTTTATCAGAAATGGAAAATAATATTAAAAAACGAAATTTATGGAACCATATAGAAATTACTGAAATGCTTTCAGTAATTAAAGAGAACCATGTGGCTCGAGAACTGAAGGCAAAGGGACATAATACGGCACAGTACAAATAAGAACGAAGTTTAATTCATTAAAAAGTGAATACTATAAAGTAAAGCGTAATAATAACACCATTGGCGGTGAAAGACAGACATGCGAATATTTTGACTTACTGGATGAAGTTTTAAGCCATCGCCCAGCAATAGCGACAGAGGGAGAGGACACCTCACACAATAATTCGGAGAATGGTACAGCTGAATCTGAACACCCTCAAATTCAAGCAAGTTCAACGAAAACTTTTAAAAATCCAAGTATGTAGACCTGGTTGCTTCTAGTTTTGATTGATCAATCATTTTCAAGTTTCAGAAAAGAAAACCTACCAAAGGGTAATGGAGTATTTTACCAAAAACTGGAAGTAGACTCGGGACAATTTAATCGACGCAATAAAGGTGCAGCACACAAATTATTTAAGCACCATGGAAAAATTATTGGAAAAAAATCGCGCAGATCGCCAAAATGCTGGAAGAGGATCGTCGTGAGACAGCTAATATGTTTTCAAACATGGTCAGCATGATCCAGCCGCCATCACTTACATCAACGTGGTATCCCCACCAAATTGGGGTTCCATCACGTAGCGCCTGTCTCTTATACACATCTAGATGTGTATAAGAGACAGTCGTGAGACAGCTAATATGTTTTCAAACATGGTCAGCATGATCCAGCCGCCATCACTTACATCAACGTGGTATCCCCACCAAATTGGGGTTCCATCACGTAGCGCAGTGCATCCACACAGCAGTCATAATAATAATACCCAACGATTACCCTCCTCCCGCCCAACCGACGCGCGGGGCGCAATCCTCGAACGAGCGGAATTAGCCGAGTCATAAAAGGCAAGAGAGTTTTAAGCGTTGCGATCAGCTACAGAAATAAAAATTTCAACAGCCAAAATTAAGAATTAGATTAAAGTTTATAATTTTTAAATATTACTTGTTAAGAGTAGATAAAATATTTTTTTTTAATGGTAAAGAGAGAATCTGTTAGATCAAATGTGCTGGAATGAGAATTGAAATCATGACGTATACGGCGGAATGGTTCGTTAAACTCGAAATTTGTTCTAGACAATTTTAAAAGCAAAGGTTTAAACTGCCTGGTAGAGCGAACGGGAATATTAAAATTAATATGAGACAAGAGAGAGAGAGCTACAGACTGACCCATTGATGAGTTTTACAAAAAATATTATACCAAGCATTTCCCTACGACTAGCGAGTGTAGGGAGATTTATAAGTTTTAAACGGTTAGTGTAAGGTGGAAGATTTAAACTGCAATCCCAATGCAAATTATTTAAGGCAAAAAGTAAAAATTGCTTTTGAACGGACTCTATTTTCTCAGAAGATCAAGTTTATTCAAAAGAATTGAGTGGTTTACTTTATCAAAAGCTTTACTAAAATCTGTGTAGATAACATCAGTATTCTTATTCTCCCTAAAGCCCGTTGATACATGTGATACAAATTCAAGCAAATTAGTTATTGTGGATTTCCCTTTACGAAAACCGTGCTGAGAACAAGAAATTAGTGGAGAGATC